GGAGAAAGATGAGGCTTTCTGCTCCCGTATAGATTTACAGCCTCGGAAACCCTGTACAGGGTCGCTATGGGTCGGAACAGACTCCATGGCACGTAACCACCACCACCACCACCTTGGAATCCCGGTGTGGCACTGTGGGTTAATGTGCCAGACTACAAAGTTGTTTGAATTGCAAGGTCGGCAGTTCAACCTCACCAGCTTCTCCTCAGAAACCCTATATAGGGTCACTATGGGTCAGAACTGATTCAACAGCACTTAACAACCACCACCTTAGGTACTAGTTTCCTTGAGTATTCATAATATAATAACCAGTTGCTAACAAGTCAAGTCCTACTCACAGCAACTTCATGAATGTTAGAGTATCAGAGAAGAATAGTACTCTGTCAATTTTTTAAACTGTAAAATTACTACATACATGTATTCTAAATAATACCTTACTGTGTTTTTGGTGAAGCTTTTACACAGGAGTTTAAGTTCCCATTCAAGTTGCTACAGAAACAGTTTAATGATTTTGTTTTCATTTTTCACAATGTGTGAATATGCTCAATATTACTGCCATTCTGGTTGTTCTGCCCCCTTACCTTTTCATCTTTGTTTTCATGTAATTACTGACAGTTAGGTGCCATATAGTGGATTTTTTTTAAAGAAGCACAGTACTCAGGGTGGCATTTGTTACCTTGTGAGCCAATCTGTTATTTAGCTAAAAGATGACTTCAGGGGCTAGCTTCAGTTTAAGGTTTAAACAGTAACTCATGGCAATAGTTTCACAGAGTGCACCTGTCCTAACTAGTCCAATACGTTTTGTATTTCTTAAAATAATTTTGAGGTTCTTGTCCGCATTTTTCTCCTATTCTGTCAGGATCCATCTATTGTAGCCCTGATCATCAACAGGTTTTCAATGACTGATTTTTTTTTGGAAGTAGATTACCAGGCCTTTCTTCTGAGGTACCTTTTGGTTAACAGAAGTTTAACCATCTGCACTATCCAGGGACTCCAACAACATAATTTATTTACATGGTTTTAATATCATAAAATCACAGTTATCTCCTTTTTAAAAGAAAAGCATGATAAATGACAATACTTACTTGCCATCTTTAAAATAGGTTTTCAGAGTATCACTGAAACTTTTGGAGTACTTTACAAATTCTTTCTTTTGGTGTTCAAGTGCCTAACACAAATTTAAAAAATAGTTATAAAATAATACTACATAAAATAACAAAAAAGTCAAAGTCAAACACAGGAGATTACAAAGAAATTAGAATGGACTTTATATTATAGATAAGCATTGTTATAAGTATTTACTTAAAAATATATAATAAAAAGCATACTGAATTCAAGTTATAAACCCAAAGGTTAATAGTACAAAACAATTTCCAATGATCAAATGTTCTTATTTAATTCAATTAAACAACAAGGTGCAAACCAACACATAGATTGGCAATCAGCAAGATTTCTGCAAAACTTACCCTGCGATTCTGGTATTGATATTTCTTGAAGACATTATTCACTGTATCAAGAAGTTCTTTTATTGCACTAGCTATATCCCTGTTGGAAAAAGAAATAACAAAACAAAACAAAAACCAAAAGTATTTTTTTTTTTTCAAAATCAGTTACATTTTAAAGTGTACATATTTAAGATTAATAACATACATGCACTACGAACTACCATGGGAGCACAATAGTTCTGTAGGATAAGCACTGTACTGCGAACCAGAAGGTTGGTATTTTGAATCTACCAGCTGCTTCACAGGAGAAAGATGAGGCTTTCCACGTCTGCAAAGATACAGCTTGGAAACCCTATGTGGGGTTGCTATGAGTTGGGACTGACTCAACAGTACTTAATATCAACAACAGCAGCAACAACAACTAGTTATTGTATATATACTATGCCAAGGAAAAACACTTGGCTAGCTGGTATGAGTGGGGGTTTCGGTTTGCACCCTTCTGTGATCTTGACTTTTCTGCACTGCTGATCAAACACTGCCAAGTAATACCAATTTTCCCAAATCAGAAACATCTTAGTATAATGTTTTCAAATTTATAACAAAATACCTCTATCTTCCTGTTTTATATGGTTTTAGCTTTTCCTTTTTCTAGAAGAGCTGAAATTAAACTGCTATATTTTCTTGTTTTCACATTTCATGAACAAGTCTATGAAATTTTGCTATTGTAATTCATTTACGTACTTAATTTATTTATACACTTCACATTTTAGCTGTGAGGTTTACAATAAATATTTTCTCCATAGAAACAGCTCTCCTCTCTTATACTTTCCTCTATCTTTTTCTTTCAAATCTTTACCTATAACTATTTTGTTTGGAAAATATACTTAAATTGCTGGGAGAGACAGTATCAGAATATTCTTCTACCTTAACCCTTCCAGCAATCATTCTTTGACTATATGCATCAACACTCCATTTCCCTGCCAAAGAAAGAGAAGAAATCTTTAATTCTCATTTGATAGACCCTTCTTCCTATTCAACAGTGTTTGTCTTTTGTATCTATGCCCTTTTCAACTGACACATTCTAACTTCACAGCAAATTTTCCTTTCCTGTTAAACTGAACTTTATGTAATTCTGTATTCTCAAGTACTTTCACATTTAAGGCAAGTCTCCTCCTTTCATTTCTCTTAGCTGTTAATCACTACAAACAATTGCTGTTCAAATATAATACAAGTATAATGACGCAAGCCATCACAAGCACAACCTTTACTACTGATATTACCAAAAATGCCAGATTTCAGTTATTTCATACCTCAAACATCTCAGCTGTGATGTTAAGAATAAGAGAGCATTCAGTTTCCAGATTTGTGCATGTGTTTCACAGCAAATTGTCCAGTAAATAAACATACAGAATTACAGATAGAAGGATTGTGATACATAAAAAAGCATTTTAGCCTACATTGAAATAATAAAAACAGCTATATTCAAATTTCAATGAATATATACTTGCCAGCTACTGCATGTCAAACATTGGTAGTAAAACTAGTAAAAAAAAAATGTCTGCTTTGAGCCTTCTGTTCTTGAAGAACTACATACATGAAATCAAAGTGACAACAGCAATTTGAAAGATTAAGATAGGAATCTTAGGAAGCAGTTTACATTAATTGGGAAGAACTCAAAAGGATGTTGAGAATGGCTGCAAAAGTTCAAGAATGTAATCAATGTCAATGAACTATACATGTGGAAAAAGTTGAATTGGGGTATGCACATTTTGCTATATATAATTTTAAAAACAAAATAAAAATTTTAAACCCAAGTGTTATTTTAAAAAACAAAAACAAATCACAATGGCATTAGGATGAAGCTTGAAATTATTTAAATAGGACAATAAAATTTACATAAAAATGAACAATAAGTATTACATAAAAATCATTCCTTTTTTGTTTCTAGGTTTAGTAGAGAAAGTTTTCAGTTATAAATGTTCCTTTCAATTATGATTTCAAAAATGTTGTATTGCCATGGTGGGCATAAATCACCACTGTTTTTTAAAAAAAATGATGTCATTGGAATGAACAGCTGAGAAAAACACTACAATTTCAACAAAAATAATCAAATCCCTTACTATTCTAGGTTCTTCTAAACCCACAATGAAGGCTATTTAAAAAGGAATCTAATGGAACAAATTCAGTTATCAGGCAATTAGCTGTTTATATACAGTCTCATTTTGCAATATACTTTATTATTCTGCTATAAAAAGGGATGGTGAAAATGTGCTTTCAGGACTAGTCAACACGATGAGACAAATGTTAAAGGAAGAATTCCACAGGTTGCAAATTTTTCTGTAAAAACAACCTGTAATAATGTATACATCATCAGCTATGTACATAGAATAGCATTTATTTATAGTAGCAAGGTTTGCAGAAGAAAAGCTAAAGTATATTAGTAGTTACCTGAGAGCTTATTTCCTACCAGAGAAAAATACCAAAAAAAAAGAATACTTCAGACAATTAAGCAGGCAAAGAACAACTGGAAAATCTGGTATAATATCTATAGTATAACCGCACGGTCTGGCGTTGATGGGTTCTGTGATAAAGGACAGAAAAGTGTGGTTTTAGTGGGAAGGCATTTAGCAATTTGCAGCTATTTGGTGGGGCAACACATGGGAGACAGATACACTGAAAAGAAGAAGCACAACAAGCATCAGATGAAAGGCAAATACCTAACAAACAATTTTCATGGAACAGCTTCTAATCATGCCACCGAAATCTATATGGAAATATGTTTTTTAAAAACACTTTTGTTGTTGTTGTTAAGTGTCACTTAGTCAGTTCTGATTCACAGCAACCCAATGCAGGGTTTTCTCAGGAGTGCCTGGTGGGTATGAACTTCTCACTTTGAAGTTAGCCATCCAGGGTTTATCCTATAGCACCATACCAGGACTCCTTACAAACACTTTAAGGAAGAAAATTCTTGCGCTGTACGTTTAGTGTAGTGTAGACTGCATATTTCTGGAAAAACTATTCTGAAGCTATTATGGAAACTCCTGACCTGAGACAAGTTTTAGCAAATTTTAGCCTAAGAATACACAAATGCAGATTACAGAGAGTAAAAGGATAAATGCATACATAGCTTTCTGGTATATTGAATCATGAGTCCCTACTAAGTCATCCATTAACTGGAAAATATCAGACTTAAAACAAACAACACCTATGAGTTAATTGATAAAATATTTGCATAAGCACAAATGTAATCAAATAGAAACATTGCTTAATCAAAGGAACATTTAACTTATTTGTTTGCTGGATCATCTTGCCTAATCAACTCCACAGAGAGAAGAGAGAGAGGAAAGAAAAAAAAAAACAAAAAAAACTACCTTATTTCACATGCATGGTCAGTACGTGTAGTAGGAATTTGAATTTGCCTCCTATGCTAGTCCTATGCCAGGCACTCTATGTACATCACTACTTCTCATTCTCACAAACAGTATCCTTATCTTCAGTAATACAAACTCACACAAACTAACAGTAACAACAAGGTAAATAAAAATTTATCAGTATGTAACTACAATAATACAAATAATTACATCCTAAAAAGTTATATACAAATAATTTATGCTAGAGTCCTGGTGTGGTGCTGCAGGATAAGTTCTGGACTGCTAACCACAGGTTGGCAGTTAAAATCCACCAACAACTCCTAAAATCAACTGTGAATCAGAACCAACCTGACAGCAAAACAAGCAATTATGATAATTTAGACAAGGTTGAATTTTATTTTCAAAAGTACTGCACATATCAATAAACTTCCCATGACAAATAAACCCTCAAATTAAAATATTTAAAAACTTTTTTTGTCGCTAAGTTATTCTTCAGTTGTGCTTCATAAATTCTAGCAAACAGGAAGGTAATACTACTACTTCCCTTCTAAGTGAGAGACAAGACCCTAATTCAGCTCTGTCAGTGACTGTGGATAAGACTTAGGCTCTTCATCTCAACTTCTTTATGACTAATATGAAGGGGCTTCAAAAAATTCATGGAAAAATTCCATTATCATTTTAAACTCCTTTTCTCTCAAATTTCTTGAAGCCCACTTATATGTGGTTATAGTGAAATAGTTTCTAAACTGTCTCCTTAGAGTCGCAGAGATTTTAGCAGAGATCCCCAAGGAAAAGGGAACAAAGTATGCAGAAGGCTCCAGTGGTACCAATCCTACCCTCGTCTTAACCACAACTCTGCTGTCTTGTTTACATACTAGTATTTCTATACAAGATGTCCTTTATCACATTTCCTTCAAATGACAGAAAAAAAAAAATTCCCACTGATCCCACCATATTAAATCAACAAACATTGTGACGATGACTAGGAAGACCACTCTGAAGTCAGACTGCTTGTATTCAAATCCCACATCTACCTGTTTTCAAATTAGGTCCATGATGTAGGGAAAGTTACCTGTGCCTGAATTTCCCCATCTGTTAGGGTTATCGTGAGGATGAAATACATTAATATATATAAAGTGCTTAAAATAGTGCTTAACAAATAGTAAGTTCTATATAAGTGTACTATTACTATTAATTCCATAAACTTTATTATAGTTAATTCCATAAACTATAATATTAATTCCATAAACCTTAATTTCAATGATCTAAAGCAAAATTTACTGAAAACATTCTTTTAAATGTTAACTCTTCATAGGAATGTAGCATGTTTAACAAATACATGATTATTTGTGGTGTAGTGAATTATTTAATGTCTCTTCTAGTCTGTCTTTGTAGCTCCCACCAAATGACTCTTTTCCTCTGGGTATGAGTAAGAGAAGGTGGAGGAAGATACTGAAAGGATGACATGATTCAGTTGTGGATTATTAAGAGAGTAATTGTAATTGTAGGAACTTCAATATCAATACGGGTTTAAAATGAGCCATCTCAGAAGTAGGGGGAATCATACCACCATCAAAGAAGAGTGAGGAGTGGAGCACATCCTTTGGACTACAAGATCCCTGCACATTGAACAGCTCTATCCCCGGACAGAAACGTTGTGATACTGGAGGAATGGCAGAGGAACAGCAGTAGCAGAACCCCAAAACAGACCACAACAGAATGGTGGGCTTTCCAGCCCAATGGAACAAGGAAAGTTGACGGACTTTGGGCAGGGGGTTTGCTTGTATAATAGGGGGGAGTTAAATTTGGTGACCCATGGAGCTAGAGTCAGGTGCCTTTGGGTTGAGGCTTAAGGTGAAGAGGTATGTCCTATGTGCATTTATCATTGTCTAGGCACAAAGGTGGCCTGCCTGTGAGCATGGCTGAGGAGAAGCTGTCTTGCCTGGAGAAACTGTGTCATGAACAATTTCTAACACTGAATTTACAATCTATTAACTTCCCTAATAAAGCCCATAATTGTGAGTATGGTGTCTGCATACTGTGCAGCCAGGAACAACGGATTATTGAACCCAGATGAGAGGCTGTGCTCCAAGACGAATGATTAGTGTCATTATTTTATGCGTCATCAAAGCAAATTAAAACTAATTATTTGAAAACTAGAAATAAGTTGTTTAAACAGCTAAGTTTGAGATCACTGACAATTTATACTCTTTTGGAAACCAAGTTAACTTTAATAATACTAAAGATAAAAATGCAAAAATAGTAGACTGTTTTCCTCCATTCATATATTAAAAATAGTTAAAGGAAGTTGAAGTTTTCCTAAGAAGGGAAAATAGAAAACTCCTGTGAGATACATTTGTTGGCTTTTCAGGTGTCTTTTTCTTACTCCTTGGTAGCCGGGTTGGACCTATGACAATTACTTTCTAAACTGGGATATATTTCTCCTCCTATATACCACTTAAAATAGGTGTCCAAATGAACTAAATAACATTTTTTTGATGTGAATTACAAAGAACATTATTTCTAGGAGACTAGTATTTATTCCTGGAGTGACTCCTAGTATGGTGCCATAGGATAAACACTGTACTATAAACCACAAGGTCGGTGGTTCAGACCCCAGCTGCTCCTCAGAAACCCTATGAAGGGTCACTGTGAGTTGGTACCAATTCGATGGCACTTAACAAAAACATTTATTCCACATGTACATCCTTAGGTACTTTAGAGACACCTTATGATACAATTTCTTCCAGAAAAAGACACAAGCTAAATCTTTCCTAATTAGCAATTTCTACATAAGATTACACCACAAGGTTGCATTATTAGTGCCATTATGATTATTTTCAGTTTTGTTTTCTACTCACTGATGCTGGAAAGCATGTCAGATTCTTGAGTTTAAGATCATACACCTAATTTAGTTTGATATTTTCCCCTGGCTCTGTCAATCCTCTCACACCTGACTGTATCCTACAGGAGAGTAACCCTGGTTTGAGAACCACTGCTCTAGAATGACCCTTCTGGCTGCTCCTCACCAGCTGACCTCCTGGCACCACGCATATGCTCACTCTTATTTAACCTGTTTCCCCCAAACAATCATCTGTGGTTTACAATTTGGTCATTACAATAAATGCCATTCACACTTTCAGTGCATTACGTACCATAGTGACTTTTGCCTTTTTGAAATAAAAACAATTTTAGTTTTCTATCTTTACTTATATAATGCATAAACTATATTCTGGTTTATATATATTTCATTCATTTGGTGATGTTATTATCCTGGAGCCAAATGCCACAACTTAGACGTTAATACTAAAAATGTACTACAGATGACCCTTGAACAACATGGGTTTGCAATGCATGGGCCCACATACATGGAGATTTTTTTTTCTTGCTGCTAGTGCAGTGAGCTCAAGTGTTGCAAGTATCTGCTTAAAATACCATGGCACGCTAATGATGCATGAGTAGTCACTAGTTCATGTGGGCTCCTGCAGTTCAAACCTGTGTTGGTTGTTTTGTTTAAGGGTCAAACTGTTAATTACATGTGGATTTTTGACTGCTCTTACCCCCCTCCTTAAGGAACTATGGTAGCATAGTGGCTATGAGTTAGGCTGTTAATCTCAAGGGCAGCAGTTCCTTGGGAGAAAGATGAGGCATTCTGCTCCCATAAAGATTTAAACCCTTGGAAACCCTATGCAGTGTCACCATGAATCGGAACCTACTCCATGGCACACCATCACCAACCACCACCAACCTCCACCATGCTGTTCAAGAATCAACTATATTTAAATTTTCAAATAAGCTTAATATTAATTTTAAACACAATAAAAACATCCAGAATATGTGGCTCCTTTGAAAACGTTTTAAGAAACCAAAGTTTAAAAAAAACTTACTTGATTGTCTGTAAAAACCGCACTCTGTCATTGATCTCATCTGGAATCTTACTGAGGATTTGTTTAAGTGCTCGTGCCTTTTCATTTAGATCCTGGAATTCTGGTTCTGGTCGTTCAATCATATACTCTGATAAAAGAAGTACATAATAAAAACATCATACATCTTACTGTCAAATTCAAGTCTAAAAATTCTCAATGTTAGCCACAGAATGAGGGAAAAGAAAAGAAAGGACAGACAGGAAAGACAATACTGCAAGGCAGAATTTGTGAAGTTCAACTGAGTTCATAAATAATGTTAGGACTTCATCATAGTAGAATAGCAAAAAATAAAACACCAAACATTTCTACAGTTGGGTACACAGAATGCCTACTTTAAAAAAAGGGCAGGAGTCCACTTAACCAAACTCAACAGTCCTCCGAGGCTACATTTTATAAGGATCCCTTAACTGAATCGATAGTATAATGAATATAAAGATAGTAACTACTAAAGGGAAAGAGGAGTTTAATAATATAGCAGCTGTATATTGATCATACAATGACTCAAATTCAACCAACTGGAATCTTCAGCACATTCTTGATACCTCATTTAAACAAAAACACTATCACAAATCCAACATAAGGGCTGGAATCATAGAACAACAACTTTGGAAAGAAGGTTCAATCTTTAACTGGACCAAGCCAAGCAGAGGCAAAATAAGTTCACTGTCAGAAATACCTTAAGTCCACTTGGAAGCATTATTAACTCACCAATTCACCAATATATCCTAGTCTAACAGACTGCAGATGCTCAAGTCTAGATTAGCAATAAAGGGCTTCTTATAAATATTGACGTTTTTCGAATCAGTATCTACTTTTCCCTGGTCTTAATAAGGAAAATTACAGTTATACTTTCCTAAAATTTATGTAACAATAGCTACTAAACTTACTTGAAATTTTTAGAAAATTGCAACAAAATGTGAAAAGGATTGTCTATTGCTTCCCCAAAACTGTGCTTGAAAAAGTACTATGCTTTTCTAAAGTAAATAAACTAAACAAAAATCTTCTATTTTAAACTGAGGTTTGCTTAACATCAACACAAAACAAATTCACCATTTCAGAGTTTACCTTTCAGTGACACTAGACCTCTTCAAGCATCTTATTAATGTGTGTGTTAAGTGCTGTTGAGTCGGTTCCGACCCATGGCGACCCTGTACAGGGTTTCCTAGGGTGTAAATCTTTACGGGAGTAGAAAGCCTGCTCTTTCTCCCGCGGAGCAGCTGGTAGTTTCGAACCGCTGACCTTAAGGTTCGCAGCCCGATTCGTAACTACTACCCTACCAGAGCTCCTTATTAATAGGGGTAAAAAAATAAAGCAGGAAGCATAAACAAAAACATCAAGTAATAATGTAAGATACGAATCAAAAATTGTATTTCTATTTTATATAGATTGTTTTTCCCCATTCCATAAAAAAAGGAAGAAAGAGTGAAGGGAAGAAGAGGAGGATAGCAGAGAAGGAAGAATCATCCTTTTGTCAAACAATGAATCAGAGAAGAGTACTTTTCAACAATTTTAAGATGTCTGATACCTTCTACATCATCAGCTGCCATACGAAGAAGGGACTCTGTGAAGTTGACTTCTACACTTTTTTTCTCTAAAATTTTCATAATGATGTCCTGCGTGAGACCAGGGTTTTCTTTTTCAGCCTATGAAAAGGAGAAAGCTAGTTTTGAAATATGGAAACTAAAGGAGCAATTTAAAACCAGAATTTAATTGCATTTGAAATCACTGGGACCTTGTTAGACTGACAATGATAAGGGTAGAAATCTTGTAAACCATGTGTCATGATACCACTCATTTATATTTTTTTGGATTTTGTGCATCAGCAAGTTTTTGCTACAGCCATCCCATTTTTCATTAAAATATAAAGTATTTAACCTTTCCTACTTCTTTACACTCTCTTGAATTTAAAAACATACATAGAGAGAAAGATCACACATATTTCTGGTTATCCATCAATTACACTTTTCATCAGTTTAAATACACGGAACATTTTTAGGAGTCAAGCAATGATTGATCTCTCGAATACCTTGCAGATGTTTTACATTTAAACAAGCAGAATGTCAGGAAAAAAATACAAAAAAACCCAAGATTTCTTTTGCTGAAGAAGGTATCTAACCTCTTAGTTACTTTCTCACACAATGGTTTCCATTTACTACTTCATTTTTTTGGTAGCAAGAATATCCCCTTCACTAGCTTTCAGAACATCATTAATCCTTTCACTACATCTTGAGCTTGTTTCACTAATGAATTTGCATTGGTTCTGTGTTAGACTCGGGAACTAAAACCTTTGAGGATTTCAAGACTAAGCAAAAAAGAGCTTTGAGTTGCTCAAAGTTAATTATCAGATTTTTTTCTTTTCCCAGTAATTTAGTTCCACTTTACTATTTTTTTTTCTTTTTTATTTGTAATCATACTGCAAAAGTTCGTCTCTTTTATGGCGGCTGCCAATTTGAATCATTATGCTGGCAACTTCCTTTCTTTTCTACCCTGATAGTAAATAGCAAATAGAAACACAATTTATGATCTTAATCAGATGGTAATCTATTTGCTTCCATACGTATCTAGCATACTTGACCTCTGTCTTCAATTCCACTCTGACATTACTGCAGATACAGCTTTATTCTGTTACTAATTCTCTTTCCATTATAACATCTTGTTTCTCATTAGATTTCCTATAGCAAACATTGAAAGGTTGTGGAATGATATGGGAAAAGAAAGTACATACATTTATCTCAATCTCAAAATCATTTTAGCTGCTGTCAAATGCTATTCAGGGAAATCATTCTGATACATGATTAATAACAATCAAGTGTGTCCCACTGAATTCTGCTACTTTTACAACCTATTTTGATTTTTGCTTCCATGGATACATTTATATATATATATATATTTTTTTTTCGTTTTAAGTTGTCTTTAAAAGGAGAGTTGGGGAAGTATGGCTTTAGACTTAAATGTCAGTAGTATTAGCTTAAGGAACTGTTACAAACTGACATATAGTGTACTATTTAAATAAACCACTATGTGGTAACAAAGTGATTTCTTTTCCTTCTTGGACAGTGCATTTACCTACAGAATGCATAACTTTGGGGTGAGAAGCATTCTCTAAGTATTCACAAACTGCCAGTTGAAAAAATAAAAGTTTTCTTATTAGCTATACACCCACTTCCCACATATCCATATGGTTCCACAGACCAGGTTGTTGTTATGTGCCGTGGAGTCAGTTCCGACTCACAGAGACCCTGTATAGGGTTTCTGAGGAGCAGCTGGTGAGCTTGAATGGCTGACCTTGTGGTTCAAATCGACCTTGCAGTCCAGTGCATTAATCCACAGCACCATACCAGGACTCCAGGTTATTGTTAAGTGCCGTCGAGTCGGTTCCGACCCACAGCAACCCTGAACAGGGTTTCCGAGGCTGTAAATCTTTACGGAAGCAGAAAGCCTCATCTTTCTCCTGCGGAACAGCTGTAGAGTTCCTTAAGGTACCAGAGCTCCTTAAGGTAGTTATGTGAAAATTGGTGTAGGAAAAAAGGGAGGACAACCACATCAGATCACAAAATGGAGGATAACTACATCATTACATAACTGCAAACCACCCAGTTACGCTGACACATAACCATCACAGCAAGCAGTAAGCTCCTGCATTGCACTTTAGTATTCATTACTACCAGACATACAGCGTTCATGTGCAAAATAGGTATTTTTACTATTGTCATAAATGTGAAATGTCAGTGATAACAAGGCAGTTGATAAGTGAGGAGTAGGTGCAATTCATTCAGAAAGAATTAGGGAAACTTGAAAAGAAAGTTTTCAATACCCATTTGGGCTAAAGTCCCACTATGTCTACTTATCTGGAGAATTACAGAAGTCTCACAGAGGTTACAATGAGGGTGTATTTCACAAGTAGTTAGGCCCAAACAACTAAATAAGTACTTCTGTACTAACAATGTAGCAACCTTTTAAAATTATACACATCACTTCGAAATTATTTTATTTCACTCTTAACCATAATTACTAATTAATGAGATGTGTTTGTGATTGTTGCACACTGTGCATGTTTTCAAACGCTGGAATCAGATTAACCCTGTTGTTGTTGGTAAGTGCCATCTAGTTGTTTATGAGCCATAGCGACGCTGCACAGGGTTTCTGAGGATCAGCTGGTGAGCTTGAACCACTGACCTTATGGTTCAATCCGACCATGCAGTCCAGTGCCTTAACCTACAATGACACACCTCACTTCCTCTTATACATTAATTTTCACGTGGTACTTCCTGTAGCGTAGTGGTTACGAATTGGGCTGCGAACCTTATGATCAGCAGTTTAGACACTACCAGCTGTTCTGTGGGAGAAAGATGAAGCTTTCTGCTCCCATAAAGATTTACAGCCTCAGAAACCCTGTACAG